CCCAAAGCAACTTCATTTACACCTAGGCATCTTTATACTGTATGGCATTAGGGTACTATCGTGCAATTTTAAGCCCTGATAAAAACCGAGTCTGTGCCTGAAAATCCGTAATCTATAGGAAATACGTCTGGAAAAATATCATGATTGCGCTTCAAGTTAACGGAATTATGCGAGATGCGACTGACACCATTTGCATGCAGAGAAAGCGTATTGCACTTACCGTCCTCATGATCTAAAGAATACAACTTTATTTGCACCTTTGTAAGACGATCTAAGGTTTCCATCCTGATGGTTACACGTTTGCTAGGCAGACGCAGTTTGCGCGACTGAATTTAGAACTAAGTAAAACGAAACTGTAGCAGAAGAATCCCAAATACACAAAACATTTTCACGCGCGAACCTACTACAAAGATCAATTGGCATTTTTTTGCAGAAAAGCTTCTTTGCTAGTGTTCAGTAGTCTACATTTGGCCGCAAATTCACGAGTACTATCATTGGCAGGGGTTTCAAAAGGTATTAATTTACCATGATTTTTTCCACATTTTGGTTACTCACACTGATTTTTTGTTTTTTACATTTTTGGGCAGTATGGCCAATTGATAAACAATTAAAACATTCACGATTCTCTTTCACTAAAACACACCTTTCTTAATTAGTTTTATTGTAAAAATTCCGCAATCAGCCATCGTATGTAGCAAACATGTACTGTTAGTTGTTGTAGCAGACTTTTCATCAGAGGTTTTTGCGAAATTATTCTGCGCCTATTGCTTAAATTAATCATTTTCTCGAGAGATCTGCAGAGACTATTCAATCATCATTTTTCGCTCGAGTCTTTCAACCCAACTTTCTTTAACTCTTCCGGTAGTTTTTCTTCAATCATACTAATGATTGTGCTGTTTCTGAATCTCTTCCCAAATATTTAAGTTCTAAACTTGCCTTTTCGATTACATCAATGAAAGTGAGAGGACGCTTTTCTTCAATGCTTCTCAAGTGACGAAAACTTTAATGTCCTTTACCACAATTTCTACAACTTTTCCTTTATCGCCGTATCTCTGATCAAGAAGTTTCCAAATTTCAACAAGATTATCATCATATTTCGTTCTTGACTTTTAACATCTTCAGGTAAAGAACTACGAAGTGCATAAGAAATAGTGGCATCGTCATCAAGCACAGTTAAAATTTGACTTATAACATCCTTTTTAAACTGAGGCCAATCACGTCAGTTTCCACATAACTTAGGGTATTTCAGTTTCTCCAAGTGTACAACAGGTTTTTTTGCTTCAATATGATCCCACGAGCCTCCAATTTTTCTAAAGGTTAAACATCCAGAATCCTCCTGAAGCTTACGGTTTGAAATTGTCTATCCAAATCTTGCTTTACAGCTTTCAATTTTTTTCGTTTACGTTTTCGTTGTGATGAAAGCGTTCACAGATATTAGTTAACGGAGTATTCGTTAACCCATTATTCGTTAGTCTTTTAGTAATTAAATATTTATTTCCAAAAAATCTGTTTTTCTTGATTTTGATCAATTTTTAGTTTGGCTGATACATCCTTTTCTGATGCTACAATTTCATAATCTCTTTCATGTTCACGTTTTTTAGATCGCAATGTAAGAAGCTTTTTTTCAAAGCCTTCTAATCAACAAAAATCATCAACAGTTCTTTAATTTAAACTCAAAATATACTGCTCTTGTTTCGCCTGAACTATGAGCCAGGTATCAACAAATTTCTCGGATTATCTCTTTGTGTTCCTAATAATTTACACTTTTATCATTAAGAAACATCTCATACCTGCTGGAAGCTTTATTAAAATTCCTCGCAGCAAGAGATCTTGCCCTTCGTTCTATAGTTACCGCTGTGTTGCAGCAACATAACCCAGTGAAATTTGAATTTTGCAGCACGTAGACTTGTAATTTGAAAAACTCGCCCGATTCTATTACGCAAAAATTGACATGATTATTTTCCGTAAATTGCTCAGCAAAACTCAAATTACATTAGCTCAACGCGGTTTTTACTGCTGAAATTAAAAAATCTTTGCTTCTCAATCACAGGTCATTTTCAGTTTCGAACAGAACACTTTCAATCAAAAATCCAGAAGAGAGATGAGTTCAATTTTACAGCAGTGTTATAAAGCCCATAACACAAAACTGACTAGAAAAAAGCATCAATTTTGTTGAAGACTTGGTTGATGTTTATTGTCCATTTGAAACACTTTCAATTGTAATACATTTAATTATTAATGCTTTTGCCCAACGGCACATTATCATCTTATATCACCATACCTAGTTTCTTATTTCACGGCATTCACAACAGTGTAGACATTCACAGCAGTAATGGCATGTAGACATTCACAACAATATTAAGTAGCAAAAAAAAATCAGAAAATCAACTTTAAAAGCACTTAAAAAATTAGCCGATAGCAGGATTCGATCTAACGACCTCTAGAATACAAGTATAGCGCATCCGGCTATACACCATCTTGCTTTGTCGTCAAAAGTTGTGACTCATCTAATAGAAAATATCAGACAGCAATAAATGCACAATTTTTTAGAGCGGATGAAACATGCCAATTAATTGTCGAACAAAATTTGAGCAATTTATATTTTGACATTAAAAGAACTTTGCACCAGCTTAAAAAGTAAAGCTTGAGCCAGGCGCGGATCTCATTTCATAAAAAAATTATCGGCCTTTTCAGGCCCCCAAATATCAATTGATTTTCTGAATTCTCCCAGTGAGACAACTTCCTTTTCTTTTCTATCCACTCATACGGAAGAAACATTAATTCCACACAATAGCACCGCTACTAGAATCAGCGTAAGATTTTGCCGGCGTTCAAGAAGTGCCGATTTCAAGTGGTCGACCTGACGCTCTGATTATACAGCCACAAATAGCTGTACCTAACCCTCCCCATACAGGGGTACGCAGAAAGCATGCTATTTTCGGGTTCTTAGTTTCGAAGCTTCCTAAGTCGGTCGGGTCGATCCGTCTATTAATCTTAATCCGACTCGTCGAAGCCCGCATTATCTCTAATACTGGTCCCTATACCTGTTCCCCTTTCAAACAAATTTTTACGAACCCAAGCCAGCGTCTGGTGCCCAACGCCAGCGTCTGTTGATTGGTTTCATTTAAATGTAGCGGTCTTAAAAAGCTCAAAAAGCACAAATGAGAGTTTTACGTCCCATCTTGTACTAAATCCTATATATTGCCCCCTCTTGTGACTAACAAAAATAAACTTGCTCGCAAGCCCGTAAACATCTTAATGCTCGCAAGCCCGTAACTTGCTCGCAAGCCCGTAAACAAACAATTAATTCCCACCCACTTATCACACCTCCCCTTGTAACCAACCAAACTCCAAGTTTGCGTCATGATTCAAACCCCCTACTGCAACGTACCCCGCAATCAAACAAGCAAACCTCCTCTGTACCAAGTTGTCCAAAACCCTGCAAATAACTTGTAATGGCAACTGGGAAAGCACAAAAAAAGCAGCTCAAATAAGCGAATTTTAAATCCAAATTGCGGTTTTTCATGAACCTATGTTAAACTTGAAAATTGCATCCCCTTGTTGGGCCTAAATTTTACCAGTCTCTGTGTGAATTATTATTATAACCATTCACACAGAGGCGAAGTTGTACTTCGCATAAAAGCAAAAATAAGACCGATAACGCTACTGGAAAAACTGATTAAAACTTTGAGTCTGCACAAAATTTCTTAAGTGACGCACGCCAAATATATTGCATTAGCAGTACCAGTCAATTAGAAAAAAAAAAGAAATTTACCAACTAACATGGCTCAATTTATAGAGCAGTATTAACATAAAAAATTAAATGCAAAAAAAAATCCACATTTTTTTAAATTTGAGATTTTTTTGTGGAAATAATCCCCCCGCGCAACTAGTAAGATATCAATTATGGCAAATAAGCTTCCTTTAACCAATTTGGAACAATTTCTTTGGCGGATTAAATCTCGGCTCATGTGTCAATAGCGCGAAACATATCGCGCGTGAATTGTCCCAAGCTGGCGTTTCAAACCCCCCATAACTTTACGAAAAATGATCACAGGTGAAATATCTTTCCAAATTTAAGCTCAGGACAACAATATTTTTTGAGTGATATAAAAAGATCTCGTCAAAATGGCTAGTTAATAAGTCAAAATTTAACTGAAAAAAAAACCACCCCGAGCACAAATATTCCATTACTTTCGTTACGGAAGTCGGAACAACAATCGTATTTGTTAATCTCCTTTGTAATGGCTGTACTTAATAGCTGGTTATTGATCAAAATGAACACTTTCGAAACGAACACACTTTATCGCAACAATACTTGCGTCGCAACAATATTTTCGACTTAGGTTGGGAAAAAGATAGTTCATACTTTAACACAAGCTTTACTTGTGTAATAAAATCGCTAGAATTCTATAAATACCATTTGCCAGGAGTTACTAGCATTAGTAGCCAGTAAAAACAAGTGAATGTTCAAGAAATTCAGCATATCAGCTGCACGAATGATTCAAGTGATTTTGCTACAAATTGTTGGCCCAAAAAAGCCTAAACGAAACCGATGTCATTCGCAAGCACTATCGAGAACACGACAAAAAAGCAGCTCTATAAAGTGCAATGAGAAAGTAGAAATAAACTTCGAACTAGTAAAAATTCAACTCGACTCGTATTCGATCTGCGACCTACAGATCATGAGTTTCATACAGTTACCACCCAGCCACGGAAGCTTAATACGTCGCAAACACTAGCCACAGATAAAGCAGAGAACAGATGCTACGAAATTTCCAATACTACAGATCGTGATTGTCGCCAAAGTGCCATCAAATAAGTAAACACTTTATTGCAAATTAGATTAGAAAAAAAGAAGGTTCGTACTAATACACTAACGCTCGCCTGACCTCAAGTATCGATGCAAGTAAATCTGATATTTCGGGTTAAACTCTTTCTTTATAGTTTTATTCACTTCCTGAAATGATCGAAACATACAAAAAAACAAGTGGTCATACTTAACAGCTTCCAGCACGGTCGCAGTTTTTCCGGTGCCAGGAGTTCCAGAGACATAAATGCAGCCACTGGTTCCATTTCTCAGGTGATCGTGAACAAAAGAAAAGATGTTTCCAAACTCAACCTCCCTACATGGAAGCTCAAGAGGCACGGAAGACACTTGCAACATGGCCAAAGCCCTGTCAAAACCACACGTTAGGCTGCAGATTCGTTCCAGTTCCACGGATAATGGAGCTCGGTAGCTTAGAAGATTCAAATGCGCCTGAGTTGGCTTAGTGTTTAACTTTTTGGCGAAAATTCTTGTTTTGCGACTGCGAGACTTCGATAGAACCTTTCTCTGTCGAACTCGAGCTAAATGCGTACTTTGGGTGACAATTTCATCAGAGCTGGAGCTGACATCTGGTCTTGCTTCATCTGATTGATCTTCGCTATCACTATCCTCAGAATCACTCTTGCAAGGCTCATAATTCTGGACCATATTAGTTTCTCTCCAATTTCTTGACTCTTTTAGTTTAGCCTGCTTGGGAGGCGAAATATTTTCTTTTTCTTCACTGTATTCAAGCTTCTTTTTGCAACTACGAGGTGTCCAATATTTACTAGTTTTTAAGTCACATTTTTCCTCTTTTAGCTTAGGTGTCTGCGGAAGATACCTCTGCAGCTCTTTCAGTTCGCCTTTAGAACTTGTGAATCTCAGACAATATTCGTTTTTAGACTGTTCCGGTTTCTCCGAAAAAAGGTCCAATGAATTAACTACAACGACGACTTTGACTTCTGAGATGCCCGCTTTAATAGGCGAAACATCGCCCAATTTCACAATTTCGTTAACTAATGGCTTGACTCCAAATTTAGTAAAAGCATCCAGTAGTAAGTCAGAAATGACGTATTTTGAGCCTTCAATTTTTACACAATTATCATCATTCATTATCCTTTTAACTTTGTAGAAGAGTCCATTTTTTGCTTTTAATGTCACAAAGGATCCAATCTTAAGAATAACACCAGTTGAAATTTTTGTAGAGTTCAACTGATTGGACGTGAACGGCATTTTAATCTGCAAATGTGACACTAGATAATTCACACAATCAACCTATGAAAAAAATCATTGTTTTAATTCAGAAAAAAATTAACAAAAAATTTTGCATGAGAAAAATTTTTCGATTACGTTAAAATTGTTAATTGAACAAACGTTTTCGCACAATTTTACAGCATCTTCAGGTTTAAAAATCAAACTAAGTAACGGTAATTTGGCCTTTTTGGATTTAAATGTTAACGTGGACTCAGGAAAAAAAGTCGCATGTGTACCATTCGACGGAAAATGAAGCTAGGTTGTAAAACGGCTGGCTAGCGTCTAAGCACAGCTCTACATGCTTTTAACCGTCTCTACCAAAGCCAGTTCTTTGTGTGGTACTTTTAACATCGGGTCGACAAAATCGTTACTGTTTTGGGCTATCGGCCAGAACGCTCAGATTAACTTAGTTACATGCAAAAATAGTGAGCTAATGACTGGGACCCAGTATCCCCAGACCACGAGGCCACTCATAAAAACAGGTTCATTATATTTCTATTGTTTTTGTTCAGTAGATAAAAATCATCATATCCATCCGAGATGGATCAACCATATCCCTAAACTCCTAGCTTCTCATACTCTGAAAATGAATTGGATGTTAATTAAATTCAACTCAGAACATTCCAGAGAGCTAAAACTTGTTTAAAATAGAGTTTCAGTCCTCTTCCAGAGACCCTTCCGGATTCTGGAATCCGGACGAAGAGCGGTCTTATCTCCCTTCCGGAAGGCTGGTAAAATTGTCCTTATACCCTTCTTGTTTCTCGGGAAGTCTTTGGTAACGATTGTACAGTTACAATCGTTACAATTCGGAATGTTCTTCCGTTAAGGTCGCCAACTATAATTTCGTCATTCGCTATAACTTCTCGTACGTCTTCTCTTTGTCAGCGATTATTGTTCTTCTAATTTCTCACTTTCAGTTGTAGCGAAAACTCAAGGTCGTGACGTGTCTATATTTCAGTGTGCCATTCCCCCGGATTGGCACAGTCAAGCCCGCCGCGGCTTTAGGAAAAGTACGATAAATGCCTTAGCAACCGATTATCAGTGAAAAGGAGGGTCAGAATATTCTGGAATTTTTAATTTTCAAAATTTCGATTCTCAGCAGTCTATTTCTGAGAAACGCGGGAACAGCCATTTTGAACCAGAAAAGGCAACAAAAAATACAATCAGAATGGCAAGACAAGAATCAGTTGATAATCAGCGGGACAGCCGGAGTGGATCCGTACCCTCCTGTGCCACAGGATTGAAGAGAAAAGAGTGTTATCTCAGGGGTAGATCGGAATTAAAGGTCCGGTGCCCAGAGACTCAGTAGACTATAATAAACCTTTTTTCAGTTGCTGTGATGCCCTGAATAGCTGAAATCCTTCCAATCTTGTTTTGTATTTCAGAGCATGAGTAGCTAGAAAGAGGAAAAATCAATCCAATCCCAATGGATGTAGTAAATAACTGCCACTAAAAACATAGTAAATAATGGCTTCCCAGCCATGTCTTCAATAGTAATCACGTAGTCTGGGGATCCGAGACCTAATTATGTGGTTATTTTTGCATACTAATGAAAGCTGATCAAAAGTCGCTTGACTGATGGCCTAGAAATAGTAACTTTTTACTTAGCCATAAACAGACCAGAAAACTAACTGGCTAGGTCTCAACGGTGAAAAACCAGTAGAATTAGGGTAACTGACGTCTGCCATTCGTCAATAGGTGCTCTTTCTACGCTCCGTCACTATGTAATTTTTGGGCGAAAGTTACATAGATGTTTTTATGGCGCTCCTGGGCGGGCCTGTTAAAGGTAAAAGTTTAGAAAGTCCTGTTTTGTATTAGGCGGAAAGTACCGACCCTCCGCCTGGTACTATTTAGCTTTTTTTTATTTTAATTAAGATCCAAAATTCCGGGGGCCGGAGGGTTAGGTGGGAAGTCATGAGCCCGCTTATCCCATGGCCCTTGGACCAAAAACAATTAAAGAGAAAGCGTAAAACCAAACAAAAACAACGTATAACCAAGAAAAAGCCAAAAACAAATTTACTTGAAAACAAAAAAGTACAAAAAACGGTAACAAGATCAAAAAAGATCAAAAACAAAAAAAACATAAAATGACAGTTTATATATTCTTTCCGGACGGGATGTGATCTGACCTTCGTGTTTGTTAAATGGTGGGGGGCACATTTCGCGCGGTCCGATTGCATCCTCCATCGATTGCAAGTTTCCAAGTTAAGGGTCTTAATTTGGGTGTGTTGATGCAAAGGAGGGTTTAGTTATATTTTTTAACGGCAGTTATTATGTTATTATCCTTATTAAATATTACTTACCTCCCATTTAGACCCGAGAAACACCCCAATTTTGTCAAAAAATACAGATTTTTGACCAAACTGCCAACCCCAAAAATTTTGGCTGTCTGAGTTTTTCGAACATCAAGAAGCTTCTGCGCAGTGAGCTACTACGCAGTCGGAGCCCACTAACTAAAAAACCCGCGGAAAAAGACATAGTTAGAGCGACAAAACCTTTTGCGTTAGGAGCCTGAAGCATAGCGAGCTAGTTTGCAAGAACGATTTTTGAGTAACCCTACGAATAGCTCCGTGGATAGAACTGGAGACTTAAAGATGGGAAAAAGAAGGGTTCGGAGGGTCCAAATTTGATAGTTTTTGACCAAATTTTTGTTTCCAAATCAATTTTTGTCCGGTTTTTTGCATTATTCCATTGCTGTACAGGGCTACTCTATTCAAGAGTTTTTAGGCACTTTCAAAAAAAGCCGATTTAGCAAACGTGTTGTTGTTGATTTCTGAAAGACTAACAAACCGATCGAAATAAATTTGGTACCATAAGTCGACGTTTTTGACCATTTTTCTGAAACGCAACCGTTTTTAGGTTGATAACTTCAGGAGAGAAAAAATTTTTTAGACTTTGTTAGTTCGGAGGGTCCAACTTTTACTGAACCCTCCGAGCGGCAGATATTTTTTTCATAAAACCACGTTTTATTCCCACTGGGTAGATTGAACCACCTTGTTCTAAGCAAGCTAGACCGCAATTGGAGGCATAAGAGCGGTGAAAATACTTTTTTTCGTGATTTTTGAACCCTCCGAAGCAACGCTCCGGAGTCAGCTGAGCCCCTTAACAACCCTCCTTAGTGGAAATTTTAACTTTTCACGGAACCCTCCGAGATAGTTCAAATAACCCCCCAGAGTAAATTTAGCCTGTTTGGACTCTTTTTAGCACTAGCTGGAGACCCCTTTGAGGCGAGACTTAAAAAAAAATGGAAAGTTGAGGGAACCCTGCGAAGTAACCCTTTGGAGTGTAATAGGCATCTTATTGACCCTCCTTAGTGAATTTGGGGGGACCCTCCGAAGCAACTTAGTTGTTTAAGCTACCCTCCGAGGTAACACTCCGGAGTAAGCTAAGTTATTCAACAACCATCCGAAGTAACCCTACGAAGTGACTTAAGCATTTTAACAACCCTCCTTGGAGGGACCCTCCGGGACAGTTTAAACATCTTAAATATCCTCTAAAATCCAAATAGAAGGTCGACTACTCACGAGACGTGTATATTAGGAATATAGTAGTCCAGTTGACACGGAGATTCGCGAGCAACTTTGGATTCTAAATCGGGTTCATCAGAAGTTTCCGAGCAAATTTTTTTCGA